CAACATAAAAACCTGATTAGATGGTAGCCCCCTCAGATGTTACATGAGTGATGTAAAGTGTGCATAAAGGGGATTTCCTTTCATCCTGTCCCTGACAATACTCAGCTTCCTTTGATCCCATCTCCTGTTACCATGCTTCCATATGGATATCTGAGGAAAGCACATTTTCTTCCTTAGACTTCTGTAGAGATTCACCTCTCTATATCCAATGTGTTTAATTGGGGCTGCTACACCATGCAGAAGGTCCATACCATATAGGCTTCCACAGACATCACGAATAAAGAACTCTGTGTGATTACTGGCAGGATGTAAAGTTACGTTTTTCTAATTAACATGCCTGTGGAATATGGCTTACCTTCGAGTCCTATTTTGTTCACAGATCCCAAAGCCAAATATATTATTTAACGGTGTTTACAAGTTACTTATATTTAAGAAAAAGCAGCTATGGGGACCTAGTTTGGAATGTGGCCCTTATCCAGACTGGGGATCCAATACACTTTTCCTGCTGAACGTCACCCCTTTGTCACCACATTAGCCTACTGTGATTTAGAGGGAAATAGTTCTAGGGTTCTGGCTTATTTGAACAGCACCACACGGTCAGCAGGCTGTCTCCCTTGAGACCTTTGACGAGCACATGCAGGCCTGCTATCCAAACAATGTTACACATGTAGAAAAATCCCAGTGTCTCATTTTATGCCCTGATTTTGTCTAGCAGGGTTAGAATTAACTGCTTACCGTAGGAGAAGCTGGTCATTTCAGGTGTCCTGGCAAACTAGGTGGAAGAATAACATTAAAAACCATTTAACAAACAGAACAAAGATTTGTGAGCTTATTTTCAACTCTCCTTACTTGAAAAGCCCCCACTCTCTCATTTCACCTAACAGAAGAACTTTGGTTGAAAAGTAAGTGCCTCAAAATTCCTGTCTTCACACTTTGCCTTCCCCCCTCATTTGCTTTTGCCATTACCTCATCATACATGTCTCTTTCCTTTATTCTTGGAGAGCTTTCAGTGGAGTTCGGCAATAGAAAATGCATTCGCTGTTCAGGTTGCCGGCGCACCAATGAACGTCTCTGGAAGAAGTGCACAAGATTAGGTGTATCTCTTACATTTAAAGGGGTAATTCACCCTACAACTAAATCGGGGGCCTTTGTGCTGCCTACGTTTACCAACAGAAATCCAGGGTTTCAGGCAGGAATCTTCCTTTGCCCGACCTGAAAAGCCAGGGATTGAATCTTCTGCCTGTCTTCCATTAACTGCCTTCTGCTTAGGCATAGTATGGGTAGATAAAAAGAGGGAGAGGTTCATATTGTGATGAGACAAGATCAGGCAATGTACAGTATATAGGATCTCATTAGCAGTGGCACAGTTGAGGGTTGCAACCAGCAAGCAAGAGGAGTAACCACCCATTTAGACAAACATGGATGCTGACTAGCAAGTTGAGTTGGCAGGAATACTAGCCAGTAGGAATACTAGCCAATGACATTTATGAAGGAAGCTCGGGAGGAGGACAACAACTTACAAGGCCAGTGGAGGAGAAGAAGCTGTCTAGCCCAGTAAAATAAAGAGAGGCAGAAAGGCAAACATATCAGGCGTTTGCTTCAGGCACTGAAATGTCATCTAAAATAGGGAAATCAGGACCCTGGACAGCCTCTTGTGGTTCACTAGAAACTGGATCAAGACAGCCGTGATTTGTGTGAAAGATAACCTTTGGTCAAAGAGGCGGGTGCATTCTGCATCTAGGCCTAGCCACCATAACACCAAAGCACTAAAAGATCTGTGCTGTACTAGGCCACAGGCCTCTCTAAGCTGACATTCTGATCAGACACGGGCCAACAAGATACCTTTGGTGTGACCACAAGCAGGGTGTGAGCATAATAGCATCTTCTCTGAGGTGTTCCCCAGCAAATGGTATAAAGAAGCATTAGGCCTCTGCTGCCCAAAGTGATACATAGTCATGCACCCTAAATCTATATGCATTCCTCACATTGCAAAGGTAGGGACTGCATGAGAATTTTCATGAACTACCCTGTTTCCCTGAAAATAAGCCCTAACCTGAAAATAAGCCCTAGTATGATTTTTCAGCATACCCCAAAAATAAGCCCCAGTTAAGTGAAACCCCGCCTTCCACCCTTGTGCAGCAACCAGAAGAAGATGACAGGACTGTATTTGAATAACTGTACATCGTTGCACATGAAAAAAATAAAACACCCCCTGAAAATAACTCCTAATACATTTTCTGGAGCGAAATTAATATAAGACCCTGTCTTACATTTGGGAAAACACAGTATGAATGGGTGGGGTATAAATTTAATAAATAAGTAAATAAGTAAACAGTATGGAAAAAGGCAAAGCATGTTGTGTATTTTTGAGTCCACCAGCCCCACCTACTGCCAACATCATGAAACAGCCAGCCATTCTATAAACCCAGAAAGGATTGATCACTGCAATAGCCTAGGCCCCCAAGTCTATTTTTATTTAAAACATTTTCACCTCACCTTTCTCCCCAAAAAGTACTCAAAGCAGCTAACATAGTTAAGATCAATATTTAGAGCTAACAGTAAGTATACAGATATTTTAAAGGATCAAACAAATACTACACTGAAAAGGGTAAAAAAAAAGGGCAAAAGAAAAAAATAACATTCAAAGCAGTGAAGCACAACACGGGATTTTAAAAGCCCCTTCCCTCAGGGAAAGCTGGCCTGAAGAGAAAAATACCCGCCTGCTTGCAGCAGGACTGCCCAGAAGGGGCCAGCCGGGCCCCCACCAAAGGCACCTGCGATGGGGGTGCAACTTAGAGATTACTGGAACACCCAAGCCGGCTCCTGAGGGGACATACGGTCTTTGGGATCGCTTGGGCCCAGGCCATTGGGGACTTTCTAGGTTAAAACCACCCCTTGGATTGTACCCAGGAAGGGACTGGCAGCCAATGGAGTTGCTTTAACAGAGGGAGTTTGCGATCCCTGTGGCCAACCTCAGTCAGCCATCGGCTGCTGCCTTTTGGACCTGCTGAAGTTTCCAAATGCTTTCCCTAGGCAGCCCCACATAGAGAGCATTGCAGTAATCCAGCCAAGATGTCACTAAGGCATGTGTCACCGTGGACAGATCAGACCTCTCCAGGGATGGGTGCAGCTTATCTGGGGCTCTCTGATTTTTTTTCCCTGGCACAATAGCAGGTGGACTTCAAGAGGAAGCAAAATAAATTTAAACCATTTAAAGAAGACTGTGACTCCAGGTACCCACTAGCACAGGGGTTCCCAACCTTGTATCTCCAGATGTTCTTGGACTAAAACTCCCAGAAGCCTTTGCCACCAGCTGTGCTGGCCAGGATTTCCGGGAGTTCCCGTCTAAGAATATCTGGGGACCCACGGTTGGGAACGCCTGTACTAGAGGATGAGCTGATGATTCAAAATGGAGTTTAATGGAAGAAGGCACGGCTTGGCTGAATTCCAAACAGAGGCACCCTTTACCACCCTATTCATTCAACTTTTCTTAAAACATATATTTAGCAACATTACAGTCAAGAGGAAGCTGAATGATTCCTGTTTTCAGAAAAGCTCTTTCTTTAGAACAAAGTCTCTTAATCTGGTGTGCTCCAGATATGCTGAACTACTGTTCCCATAATCCTCAGCCATGCATATACACATACATGTACAGAAAACATTTACTTATTTTAATGTTATAGGGACAGGCTGTGCCTTTGCAATCAGTAAAAGAAAATTAACCTCCCCACAAGCTGAAGTATATGTACTGCACCAAGTTTACACAACCCAACACACTCTGCATGTGGTGAACTACAACTCCCACCATCCACAGCCAGTATATATTGTAAATGAACCCTTTACATTCTCTGGAAAGATGGAATTTCCTTTCCTTCTCCAGTTCCATAATGCAACATTTTAAAAGTGCACATTTGCAGAACTAACCTCTGTTTGCTCTCCCAGATTTGGCATTTTAGATGCCTGTAATGCACGTAATTTCTTCAGTAGAAACATTTTATCTTTGCCTTCCTACAAATCAAGAAATTTGAAAATGAGAGAACATTGGGGCTGAGCAAAGAGAAATCTTCAGATCTGATCCTTTTCCCACTGAACCATTCTTTTCCTCCTTTCTGAAATGAGCTATCTTCAGGGTGAAACTACATGAGGCAATAAATTTACTTTTATTTAGGAGAAAAAAGCCACTGTAACTGTAAGCAGTCTCAGTTCAGAAAAAGTGCTATCATTGCAAACAACTCCTTGGAAGGAAAACAGAACCTGGTGGAGTAGGGTTTGCCATGAAATGGAAATAGCCTCAGCCCCATACCAGATCACAAACACATTCCAGTATCAAGAGAAGTACCTTAAATAAACCCAAAAAACAGGTTGACCATAATCTGCATCTTTGTCTATGTACTGCGCTTTTGGGCTTCCAAGCTCCCTCCTTGGGCTCAAATGCACCCCTCAACTCATCCTTCTCACTGGTCCCAATGCAGGCACTGGTGGATTCCCCCCCTCCATTTGCTATTTACTGTTTGATTGATATTGAACTCCTGGCATTAAGTTATATATATTTAAAAGGTAAAGGTAAAGGTTCCCCTTGACAATTTTTGTCCAGTCCTGTTCGACTCTAGGGGGCGGTGCTCATCCCCATTTCCAAGCCATAGAGCCAGCGTTTTGTCCGAAGACAATATTCCGTGGTCACATGGCCAGTGCGACTTAGATACGGAACGCTGTTACCTTCCCACCGAGGGTGGTCCCTATTAATCTACTCACATTTGCATGCTTTCGAACCACTAGGTTGGCGGGAGCTGGGACAAAGCAACGGGAGCTCACTCTGTCACGTGGATTCGATCTTACGACTGCTTGGGCTTCTGACCCTGCAGCACAGGCTTCTGCGGTTTAGCCCACCGCGCCACCACGTCCCTTATATATATATTTAAGCATCCAATAAAACAAGGACAATAGATCAATAGTCATTGCCTATGATTACCTGCCAACAAAGTGGAGGCTGCCTTTTGTTGGGGGATAATCAACTTTGAGTTGCCTGCCAGTCGTGGGTAGGGTCAAAGCTGGCGACAGTGGTAGCTTCAGCCCAGAATGGAAAGCTTCTCTCCTGCTTCTCTCACGGATGCCCTTTTTCTTTTCTTCCTAATTTCTCTGACACATTGTCCCCCCCCCCCCAAGTTCTCAATTCCCTCTCCCTTCCAGTGGGCTGGCTGGAAGAGGGCCAGATCATTGCTCTCGTCAGCTTTTTCAGCTGATCCCTTGCAGAGGAATTCTGAAATATGTCAGGGGTGGCAGGTGTCCGCCTCTTCTCTTAAGGGGTAGGCAAATATCTAGGAGGCTGCTGTGCCTTTTAACTCATCAGAAATCAGGATTTTCATTGCTTCTGTGTCTTTTGGGAGAGGAGTGACAGGCACATGGTCTACTCATGTCCTCTTTTTATTGAACGCTTAAAAATACAAAATATAATGCCAGAGGCCAAACAGCCAATTTCAAACAGTGAAATACCCCGTGGTTATTATGTGTTTCCTTTCCAAGGAAGCAGAGCCATATTCTTGAACAAGACAAATAATAATCGTGGGATTGCAGGGCTAGAGAGGGTCCATTGCTTAGTGCAGGGATGGGCCACCACGGCCCTCTTGATGTCTTTGGTCCGCAGCTTTTATCAGCCCGACATAATGTACACAGTAGGGAGGGATTCTAGGAGCTGCAGTCCAAAGACAACCCTCAACCTTCAGACCAGAAAATGGTTCCACATTAAAGCCATACTAGATCTAGTCCTGCCCTCCTCAGTACAAGAAAACTGTCTAATGCATGGACTTGGCAGTAAAAAGTACTGTATGGTGCTCCCTAATAGCCTACTTTGGTTAATGATCTGCTCTTGTAGTAGTTTAACCATCATTTTCTGTCCATCTATGATTTGCCAGTAGAGGTATGACATAATCCTAAAACAGAGGTAAGATATTAAAGGCATCCTTTTTTTCGGAAAACAATATGCCCCATTATTATCTGCAAAGTTTTTGTTTTGTTTACAAAAAAACTAGGCACAAATCAAGTGTTAGGCTAGATCTCATGACTTATTTTCAGAGCTTGAAAAGTAATCGGTCACCATTACAATTACAGCCTCTCCAGAAAGCACTAACTGTTTTCTCATTAATCAAAAGAAAGTAAGACTGTTACTTTTTAGTTATTTTTTTAAAAAATCTGAATCCTACAACCTACTGGTCCATGGTACAAAACATACCAAAAGAGTACAGCCACACTACCTGCAACTATAAAAGTAACTAAACCAGTTAAAGTTAAACAATGAAAGGAAAGTGATCTTTCTGCTGCATTACAATTGTAACATGCCTTAGTTACTGCAAAAAGGAATTTCAAGTACAGTAGCTTGTTATTTCTAATTGATTACAAGCTCTTTTACATATCCTCTCTCTTGTTGTTGTAAACACCATTGTTGGTCAGCTGGGAATCAGAAATCCTTGCTGATCTATCGGTAGATTCAGGTCTACCATCCTGGTTTCCTTGAAACCCCTCCCTTAGCATATGAGGCCTCATTCTTGAATCAGAAGTAAACAAAATGTGGCCTGTAACTTCTAGTAGTTTCTTATATGGTTTAAGCAGTATATCCTCAAATGTTTTCTAATATTCTGCCAGAATCCCATCTCCTCCTGGGGATTTCCCATTCTTTTGCTTCCTGAAGGCTTCTACTATTTCGTTAAATGAAAGTGTCTCATTCAGTATCTGTTTCTGTTCACTTGTCAGCTTTATATTACTATGTTCCCCCAGATACTCTTTGTTTCCCTTTGGGGATCTCCTTTTCCTCAAAGTTTTGATAAAATTTCTCTACAATCCTCTTTATTACTTCCTTTCTAGATTTTATCACTCCTTCTTCATATTTCAAGTTCTGAATTATAGATTTTCCTCTTTCTTTCCGTAGTTTATATGCCAACCACCTTCCTGGTTTATTTGCATTGTGAATTTTATTCTTTTCATCATTTCTTCTGTCATCAGAATATTCAGTTGATGTTGTATTATTTTACCTGCATCCTCAATCGTGTCTTGCTTAGGTTTTAACTGTTTTTCACACAAAACAATGTACTTTCCAGATCTTGATATTTTGCCACCACCCCTTTCTCGTCTTGCTGTGAATCTTATTATTAAACCCACCCCCTCTTGTCTTGCTGTGAATCTTATTATTAAACCCAGAAGAAAAGCTTTACTTCCTTCCCATACTGTAATCATTGACATTTCTGGAAGTGTATTAAGTTTTTTTAAAAAAAATGTCCATCTCTTCTGTTCTTTGTTTTGTAAGGATATAATTTTTAAAGGGTTATATTTAATCTCCAATATATAGAGTTGTATTTAATCTTCAGTATGTAGATCCAAGTCCCATTTCCAATTGCACCGAGATAAGACTATGATCTGCAAAGGTATTAGGCAAGATGTCTATTCCCGATACCTTTAATCCAACCTAGTGAGATGCTTTACGCCTATTGGTTAACACCTCGAAGGAACGAAGAAGGGCAGTGCCAATAAGGAAGAAAATGGAGGAGGTGGACTGAATTAAGATTCATTAAAACTTAAACTTAGCATTAGGAACTAGGATGGAGGATTGAGATTCCAGTTTCAGATGCCAGTTTTTAGTGCTTTATGCTAAGACGTAGTATAGTGAAAGAATAGAGGAAGGGGGCTAACTCTTGCCTGCCTTCCAAGAAGCTTTTTGGAATTTTATTTGATTTTTGCTAAATGAATTTTGTTAAGATTCTAACTGCAATATCTTATGGAAAGGTAACTTATGCTTTGCTTATGCAACGAACTGAATTATCTCTAAATACTTTATTTTTCTAATAAAAAATTATTCTTAAAATCCTAAGTTTGGTCTCTTGAACAGCAAAACTGCTGAGCCTGCTTCCAGAAGAATAGTTGGGCCACAGAATGCTACAGAGTCCTTTTGCCTGAGCTTTGTTCGTCCTGGCAGACTCCAAAGCCCATGAGTTTTCTCTTTTATTTTTCTTTCTTAATCACTTACAAGGACAGACTTGCGGGACGGGGTTTGTGTACATCCTGGCTGGGTCACTCCGGACTCTGCTCAGCGCTAATTCGGAGTGCACATATACCTGGAACCTCTCTGTTCAGGTAGCAAGTGATCCTTAGGGGATCTTGTTGCTGACACCCTTTTCCTGAGTTTATATCTAAATGTCCATCCAAAACGGCATTAAAATTTCCCAATATGCAATACTCCTTGTATTCTCTCATTACTATTTCTTTTTGAAGTTCTTCATTGAACAGTTCTTGACTTTCATTGGGAGCTTATATATTAACAATCAACACTTTTTCTGCCTTATTTTGAATTTCCACCATTAGTACCCTCACGTCCTCAGACGCAAAAATTAGTTTTGGGTCTAATTCCTTTCATATATATGTTGCCACACCTCTCTTTTTCTTTCTTGAATCTGATGCTATATAAACAATTCTCCAAATTTTTAAATTTTCTAATAGATGCTGATCTGTTGGTAAATTCTTTTATGTTTTTGGAGTGAGTTTAAGCCATTTACGTTAACTGAAAGAATTCTGAGCCATTTTTTACTCATCTGGTCCATTTTTATTATTAAGGTTTTCTTTCCTCCTCTTGGAGCCTCTTGTTTCCATAGTGTTTTCTTTTGCTTCTTCCCATTTGCTCTTCTAGCTAAGATTCTGAACTTCCTTCTGAGTTTGGTCACCTTCCTGTTTCTCATCTGCCTTTTCCCCTTCTTTCCTACCCATCCATTTTCCCCTTTTTTATATAATGCCTTCATTGTTGAATTAATAGAATATCTCTGTGACTGGAATTGGAAAAAGACACCTTCAAGTATCAATAATAATATTAATCTTACAAAATCAGTACATTTCATATATATAAGATGTTTTATAGATGGCATATGACTCCAACTGAACTTTCTAAAATGTATGAAAATGTTTCCAACAAGTGTTGGAAATTTAAAATACAGGAGGGTGTTGTTTAGTCGTTAAGTCATGTCTGACTCTTTGTGACCCTATGGGCCAGAGCACACCAGGTCCTCCTGTCTTCCACTGCCTCTCGGAGTTGAGTCAAATTCATGTTGGTCACTTCGATGACACTGTCCAACCATCTCGTCCTCTGTCGTCCCTTTCTCCTCTTGCCCTCACACTTTCCCAACATCAGGGTCTTTTCCAGGGAGTCGTCTCTTCTCATGAGATGGCCAAAGTATTGGAGCCTCAGCTTCAGGATCTGTCCTTCCAGTGAGCACTCAGGGTTGATTTCCTTCAAAATGGATAGTTTTGATCTCCTTGCAGTCCAGGGGACTCAAAAGCATCAGTTCTTCGGCGGTCAGCCTTCTTTATGGTCCAGCTCTCACTTCCATACATTGCTACTGGAAAAACCATAGCTCTGACTGTGCGGACCTTTGTCAGCAAGGTGACATTTGTGCTTTTTAAGATGCTGCCGAGGTTTGTCATCACTTTCCTCCCCAGAAGCAGGCGTCTTTTAATTTTGTGGCTGCTGTCACCATCTGCAGTGATCATGGAGCCCAAGAAAGTAAAATCTGTCATTGCCTCCATATTTTCCCCTTCTATTTGCCAGGAGGATACTTTCTATTATATTTGGTGGACATGTAGGGAAGCAAAAAGTTACTGGAGATTAGTACATGAAATGTTACAAAAATTGTATCTTGTGAATTGTTTCGATAGAATATTATGTAGATTGTAGATAAGGAAACGAGATATGTATTTGATAATACATATAATTACTGCAGCTAGGATACCATATGGGAAATGAAGAAAACAGAAATACCATCCCTAGAGGAGCTGACAGAAAAGATACTGGAAGTGGCAGAGATGGGCGAACTAACAGAAGCACTAAATGAAAGGTCATCTCAAAAAGGACTCAAAAACTGGGAACGATTTTATAGCTGTACAGTACTTGAAATATGGATTGGAAAGCATAGATAAAAGAAGACTATGAAGGTCCAACCAGGAAATGAAGAGATTAGTAACTATAGCAATTCTGTTTAAAAAATGGTGTTTTTTTTAATCTTCCTCTTTAGCTTTAACTGTATAAGTGGACGTAAAAGTACTCTCTTGCTCTCTGGAAATTTATCTTCCCCCTACCCTTATCTATTTCTCCTGACCCCCATCCCCCTACCCCCAATCTTATTCCCATTCAAAACAGATAAAACTTTTTTTTTAAATGTGACCTACAGGCCACATGAGACATCTCCCAGAAAGACCTATAAGATTTTGTATGAAAAACTATTTTGTAAGAAAAATTGAGGGGACGGCTATTATGACAGCTGATGTGACTTTCCAAGGTACAGGAATAGAGAATTCGCTTTAAAAAACCCTTTTTATTATTTGCTTTTTACTCTGACATTCAAGAAGTCCATGTTGACCCTTACATAAGGGCATTTCCTGGACGATCAGAGGCACACTACACACAGCTTTTGCTGACAGGGCGATGCCCTGGCAGATATATTGGGCTTAATTCAGATATGCTGACAAAAGTTGCTAAATTCTGTGCTGCTGCAATAAAAATCCGTGAAGGAAAGGTTCCACCTAAAGCGCAGCTATAGAATCTGTAAATTGGTGTACACCAATTAATGATCACATGGGCTATATGAGCTTTAAAATAACAAATTTGGCATTCTATGCAAGCTGTAATAGCCCATAGATAAGGCCTATGATAGAGAGGTAGGCGATATCTAGTAAGATGTATATATGTATATAGATGCTTTTAGTGCTTTGGTGTTTTTAGTGTTTTTAATGCTTTTATATTGTTTTTATGTCTCCTAATTTAAAAAATGTATCTTACTTTTGCTGGTCAATGACTGTAATAAACATTTATTATTATTATTATGCAGTTGTATGCCACATTCTGTTTATTGCTCTCTTCGAGAGATGGGCACGGACCTCGGTTCAGAGGTTTGTATGTGTGGCACCATAGGTGCTGGGCATTTCTATCCCCTACCTCCCCAGCTGGCTCCCCCATTCACCAGCTGGTGCCTGCTCCTCTCCTCCTCCTCTTGGGCTGTTCAGCCAGTCAGGGGCCTCCCTGCCTTGCCTCCTTGGCTGATCGCCCACTCAGACAAGGAGGTGGGATAGGTAAGCCGGTGCTCCTTGCCGGGGACTGGCTGATCAGCCAAAGCGGAGGAGGAGAGGAGCGCGCACCCAAGTGGTGGCGAATTGGCTAGGAAGTCAGGGGAAGGGAACGTGCGGCCCCACAGGTTCATGCCCATCTCTGCTCTCTTCCTCACTTGATTTTCGCAACCACCCTATGAAGTAGGTCTGGCTGAGAAAGAAACAATATGAGGCCCAAGGCTGACCATTGAGTTTCATGGCTCAGTTTGGGACTAGAACCCTAGATCTCCTAAGTCCAACCCTCTCGAGGCTCATTGGCCTGCAGGCACTTACAGTACAATGACTGAGAGGATAAAGAAGAAATGCACGCTTTCAAATATGTTGCGATAAATCCACACAACCCAGAAAGAACTAGGATAACTGGTAAGGATCGCCACCCAGTCAGAAACGGCCTCAAAGATCGTCACCAGACTTCGGAAAGGGCCACAGGTTTCAGAAGGTGTCTGTCTAGAAAAAGAAAAAAAACAGTGGTGGGTAAAGTGCTAGGTTTTTATTCTGACATTCATAGTGCAATATGTTCAACCTCTCATGCCAGAGGAGCAGTGTGGAGTGAGTAACCCTCCAGATGTTGTTGAATTATAACTCCAGTGATACCACATTATTAGGAATGCTAAGGTAAAGAGGTCTTGCAGTCCAGGAACATTTTAGAGGGCCAGATTCTGCCCCCACCCTCGATGATGTTCTAAATAGTGTGTTTTCTTGCTCTGCAGACCAAGCATATAGCTAGATAACCACAGAGATCCCTTCACTTCTACAGTCCTAGGAGAAACTATTCTCACAGCTGTTTTCAGAGATTTTTGTAAGGATATAAATTAGCAGCTTCATAGAAATGGACCGTCTCCCCCACAAAATCCACTGACAGAAGTTTTCCAAAATCCTGGGTTGAAATTATGAGCTGAATAGAATCCCATAATTTGTTCCTCCTTCTTCAGTCTGAAGCAAAGTAAGATCTAAAACAGACAACCTGAATGGGAAATGAGCAAGCAGCTTAGTGTTTTTAACTCCTTAGGAAGTTCAGCTCAAAGCTAGCCAGAGAGAAAAATCATACAATAGTTACATAAACACACACTGCTAGTTTACTCTCCTTTGTTGATGACAACAGAGAAAGCCTGGGTTGACATCACAAGGCATTTAATAAAGCCTATACCCGAGCAAAGCGAGGGCAGGTGGGCCACAAAGCTCCAGAACCAAGTCAGGTTCAACCATCAGAAAGGGCCAAGCATGTGCACAGGCAAGAAAAGCAGGAGGGCAGACATGACAGGTCCTCCCCAGCTGGTCCTCCCGGGGGGGGCTCCAGCGAAACCTTCCTCTTAGAGGACGGAGCTGTGTGGGCCATACACTAAAGTCTGTACCTCTAAATTAGCCTGTTCCTTTTGGGTGTGGTGAAATAGGCCCCTCTGTTGGCAGTGTTCAGGTGAGATTCAGAGTAAAAAAATCAGTCTTTCAAAGGCCTTGGGAAAGTTATATTTGGACTACAACTCCCAGAATTGGGGGGATTTGGGGATTTGCAATAACAGTGTTTCCAAGCTTAGGTCTTCATACCTCCAGAAGGTGACACCTAGGACAGCGAGGACTCCAGCAAAGGAGGGGAAAAAGAGCAGGAAGACAAAGATAGTGTTCATCTGGGATGCACGCCAAGCCTTGCGAGGAGGCTGACAGTTCCTCATCAGACTGACCTTCCAGAACAAAGCAGGGGGGGAAAAATCAGGCATTTCAGAGCACGCAACAGAGATGTGTCAATTGCACATTAGTTTAATTTTAAGCCTATTTATTGAGGAGCAAAGACCCATGGAATTTGAGAACATATTGTAAACCGTATGTTCTTAGTGCTGGGAGATTTGGACTATGTTCTGAACTGAGGCTACAAAATCATGCAAATGTATAACATTTGCATGCCATGCTACAACATGATATTCTCTGGGTTGGTTATGATAAAGAAATCTAAAGCCCCATTTAAACACACACTACAACATTAAAGCACCCAGAAAGGTGATGATAAAACTTACAGCAGTCCAAAATTAAACCGTCATTTTGACCCTTTCTATCCTCCAAAATGGAATCTTCCAGGCTGATATACTTCTCAAAGGTACTAGCCCACAGGTCTACAAAACTCTAGCCACCAAGGTACATTCTAGTATTCAAAACATCCCAGTCAAACTGGATTCTTTAGTAAATACAGAAATAAATTATAGTACTCATAAATATGGAATTGTACTCAAGTTATACATGTAAATTCTCTGTCATGGTGGCTTGGGGTTCTGCAAGCTGCAGTAAAAAAAGTAACTTTTCCAAGATATGTAATGGGTCCTATTGAACCTACTGTATTCCAGAGTAAATTCAAATATAACTGTAAGTGACTTAAAGAAGAGCAAAAAATTTAAACTTAGTAAAAGGCTTTAGTAGGAATAACTCAGTGTACCTTTTTCACACAAAATATGATGAAAAGTGATATAATTTGGATGGCTGGAAGCAAAGGTGAAAAAAATATGCCAATCCTGTAGGAAAAAAAGAAGGCAAGAAATGAACTCAATTTCCTGGAAGCAAAGGACGTCCAGTTATGGTTAGATTGGAAGTCAAACCATATATTACACACAGCATATTATTAGAAGCTGAAATCAGTGTTCCAGAGATGTGATTTCAGCAGATCAGATTTGCAAAACATGTGTTCACCTCCTTGTGACCAAATGAAAAATAAACCATGATAACTGACAAACCGAGGTCACAATGGGGCAATCAGGTGTCTTTCAGGACTGGAAGGGTTCTCTCCTTTAATGACACGCTATCTGTAATGTATAGTTTGAACCTAAAGAAGTCAGTTTTTCAGAATCTTTCTAGAAAGTTATTTAAGGAAAAGTGTTGATAGTTCCCAGGCCCCTTGAAAGTAGGCAGTTATAAACTTATCCCTTGAACTGAATGGGTTTGAGCAACACAGTTTTGGTTACACGAGGATATCTTTTTTTCAATAAATAAATGAATATGTTGCTAATTATCTCCATGATGAGATTAAAGTTGGGCCTGAGAAAGCTGGGTCTTGGACTTACCGACCACACGGGGTCTGGCGCCCTAACCCCAGCGTTGCTGAAGGACGAAGTGTAGCTGCTATTTTAAAGTATCTTTTTATTAGCTAGTTTCTAAAAATCTAACTAAAAGAATTACTTTAAGAATATTTGGATGCTGTAGTTGCTATTTTGTGAAATAAAAGGCTCTCTCCTTCCACCAACTTTGCTGGCATCAATACCCACAACACAGCGCATCCCATTCCTCTGCCACCATTTGGTGAGACTACACCCCCATTACTATAACAGTAGCCAAGCATGCTTTGTTATATGACAGCTATAGCATAATGTATCTATAGCTATACATTATTAGAAAAGGTATTCATTACAAATAATCAGTTAGTTCTAGTTTCTGGGACTTTTTAAGGAGAAAGACCATGAAGTTCTCTGAACTGTATTATTTTAACTCACCATGTCAAAGTCTGAGCATAGATCAAATCCAAAACGTTCCTAGCAATGTCAAATTCTGGCACACCCAGTTTTTTGCAGCACTTGGTCCCAATGATTCTGAAAAAAGTACAAAAATCAGTGTGAATCACAAGTTTTGGCCAGGGACTATTAGGATATTGCTCTGTGTAAGCAAAGACCAAAGTGCATAACCCACCAATTCCACTTAGTGAGAAGTCTGTGGACCTTTTGTTTTGTGCTGTTAAGTCAATTCCAAATTATGGCTACCCAATGAAGCCATGGTCTTCCAAAATTCCTATAATTAACAGCCCTATTTGGGTCTTTGCAAATTAAAGCCCTGGATTGAATCTATCCATCCCCAGTTCAGTTTTCCTTCCCCCCTGCCCTTGTCTTAAAATCAGAAGTGGTGCAGAACTAGGCAACATGTTTCACTCATTTACAGCCTCAAAGGCAGGCTTTGGGACTTCTCCAGAGGGCTATCCTTAATGACAGTTTGGAAGCTTAAGGCGATACAAAATGCTCTACTCAGAAGGAGGTGGCGCACATCACGCAAGCACTTCTATTGATTCAATGGCATTGTTGCTTTCAGAGGGAAACTTGCTAGAATTTAGACCAAGATGGTTTTCTCTCTTGAGACAAAAGATAGTAGATCAGGATCACTGTATATCTTTCAAAGATTTGCAGTAGCTTGGCAAGGTTTCCATACTCCCAGTTGTTTAACAATATTGCTACTTTTAATTTGCAAGGGAAATTACGTTAAGTCTTGGTGGCATACTATACATGCCCAGGAATGTAACTTACAGTTTGTTAATGAGTGGCAATTATGCATATGTAAATCAGCAAAAACATTCTGGCTAGAGATGGACATGAATTAAAAAACGAATCACCAAATTTATCCAAAAAACGCTAATTCATCCATTCATATTCTTATGAATTAACAGCCCAACAAATACATATCAATGAATTTTAGTGATTTTTTAACTTGTCAATTTGTTGGTCTATAAAATGGTCCCCTAGGGACCTGGCGACACCAAAATCACAGAGAAGCTTCCCCCAGCTCTCCTCTACAATCTCTCCATGTTTTGTATAAATTGGGTTTTCCCAAGCCAGCTGTTAAGGCACTCTCCTGGGGGAGAGTATAATTCAGACATCTGAAACCCAATCTTCACCAAACTTGGCGAGATTGTAGAGGAAGGCCAAGGGAAGCTTCCCTGCAATTTTGTGTCCCCACATGCTAGGGCAGATTTTCCATGGGGGCCTCTTTGTGGGTGCATATCTCTGATGTCCAAAAATCAACCTTCACTAAACTTGCAGGATATGTAGAGGAGAACCAAGAGAGGTTTCTCTGAAAATTTGGTTTCTCTAGGTGCTTGGGGGCTGTTTTACAGGCAAAATTTAATCAACGAACTGATTCATCAATTCATAAGAAAAACTGTAATGTGTTATTCCTGATTCATCAACCTTGATGATTCACAACTCAAAACTAATCACCAGTTTTCTGATTCCTGCCTATCTCTAATTCTGGGCTTTAAAAGCCATGGAAATTAGACTCCTGAAATGAAGAAAGCTTTGCCTAATTTGGAGTAAAAGGACTCTGAGGTTAATTCCCAGTTCTGCTTTTTGAACATAGTTTCCTTGGCTCAGAGACATGTTCCCTTTCAGTTTTATAGATTTTGCACCTGATTTTGTTTGGCATATCTTAGGGTTCTAGCAAACACAAACAATTAACAAAGAACCCAATGGATTCCTTAAGCCTGATGTTGGCCAATCGTTGAGTTGACTTCCCATTTCCTTTTAGTAATGCAAGCACAAAAGTACTGCTTGAATATCATAGAAAAGTAAGGACATACCGTCGCAGAAATTCTCCAAAGAAAGAACCCAATAAGCAACAGATGAAATCCGCAACAAGCAGCCTGTATATATCTTGGCCAACTAATGTTTCCCAACACTAGGAAAAACATAATAAAATAATTTGTAGAAATCAAGTAGAAAATACATCTCTCCCTCTGTCTCTTGCCTTCTTCCATAAAGTCTCACAGTGTGAGAGGAGGAAAGGATCCTACGATACCCATGAAAAACAGAGACATGTCCATTTTGACACGGGTTGCATAGCAATTGGGGAAACAACATCTTCCTCCTTGGTATGGCTCAGTCTTGGCTCTGTACAGGACTGCACCATGTTAAACTCCAGGGAAGGACTCATCTGCAGAAGAAGTATCCCACGCTGGAAAACTAGCAAACGCAAGGCTAAGCTCAAAATCCTGTTCCTTGTCATGCAGATTTTTAATGTGCAAGAAATATTTTGAAGGAGCTTTTGAGCGACCTCTGGCAGTCTAAAGTAAGACTCGTCTACAGAGAGCATCACCCAGCTGCTGTTTGCAAGAACAAAGCCAAGTCCGGTGCCTTCATATAAAAATTCACAGCACTACTGAAGCAAGGTTAAAATCCTACCTCTAGCTTTGATACAGCCACTGTGTTAAGCCAGTAATAGCAGAGGATTCCAATTATAGTTATTTTCAGAATAACATTCCTATAAAGAGGAAGTGACAACATCAGGACTCAGTAACACCAAAGAAAACAAAGGAAGAAAGGAAAATGGAAAATAAGAAAACTATTCTTCATTCATTCCGTCATTTGGAAAATGGAAAATAAGAAACTGGAAAACTATTCTTCATTCATTCCGTCATTTAGATACTCATTCATTCATTCATTCAGGGCATTATTCTGTGCCCCTCCTTATGATGATAATGTTTGGAGAGAGATATGGAAATCATGGTTCTCTGTTGAAGGAAAAATGAACTATTTTTAGGCTACAACTCCTAGAATCCCCCACTGACACAGGTGGACATAACGAGGGTCCAGTTCCCTGGGACCGTACCGTCCATCCTGCTCTCCCTTTCAATCAGTCCAGAGCTGGCTAGCCACTCGTCAGCCTGGCAGGGAGACTCGTCTTCCCTCCTTCTGCCAGGAGTGGCTAGCTGACCACAAGCTGTGGAGCGAGTGGAAGGGACAGCACAGCTGCCATGTGAGTGGATGGTCAGGCGCCATGGGGCCGGACCCATGTTACATCAAGTTGTGCATTCATATACAAATACACCCATCTCTAGTTTAAACCCATAAACAATCAGCAGAGAAATTCCCATGGCTGGGCACCCACACAGAGAAGGCCCTGCAATGGGACTATGAGAAAGGCCAGCCCCATGAATCCAAGAGTTTTTGAGTCACATCCTGCATGTTATTATTGGTTTGGGACAAAACAAGAGGTAGAGCGTTACAAATAGGGCAGGGAAAAAGGAGAGACAGAGATGAAGGGATACCTGACAATTGCAGTGTAGATCTGGTGCCTGGGAAAAGTGAATTTTTCAAAACAGCTGAAGAAAGAGTACAACAACGGCACAAGATGGTTTAGGAGGCTCACCACAATCGGCAACACCAGAGTGCTGGCTTGGCTCTCCAGGTCAGTTTTCTCCCCTTCTAGAAATATCTTGGGGTGGAGGGGGGAAAGAGCGAGAACATCTAGATCAACAAGCAATAGGAGCCCTCCCCTTCTTCAACCAGGCACCGGCCAGGTGTATTAGAATACAGACAACTCCCTTCATCACCGCCAGCATTGCTGATTGTCTGTTTGGCTGCAGAATGACAGACGATCTAGTTGAACACATCTGGGCAGTACCAGTTTGGGAAAAGCTACAACATTGTTCCATTTTTTTTTTCATATTCATAATACCTTAATGAACTTACACCAGAAACCACCAAAAACCCAAAGCATAACGCTGATCATTTTGAATGAGGAAAAGAGCTAGGCTCCACTTCTCATAGCTTATTCATGCCTTACTAACTTTTCACAGCAGTCAGTTCTGAAAGGCATTGCTCACAGTGAACACCTGAGCCAGGAAAGGCTTTAAAAAAAACACCAAATGAAAGTTTCCAGAATTTCCAAGCCAACAAAGCCAATGGCAATGTTAGTTGGGAGATTCTGGAAGTTGCAGTCCAAAACAGTAACTTTTTCAGACTCTAAACACACCCAATGGAAGAGTTGAAAAATGCTGGCAAATACTTTGATCCAAGTCAATTGTCTAGTTACAAACTGCAACAGAAAAAGGTATTTTTAAAAGAGAATGGGTTTTGCTTGCCCATTCATCAGCAAGACATCCCAAAATACTTTGTGTTTTATAGCAGAGCATAGCTCAGAACTCTGCAATAATGCTGGGAAAACTATTCTAAAGGCTGCGGGAAAGGTTAAAAAAAGGACAGACATGCCTGAAATGGCTGGCAGAAGGTATCATTACCCCAGCTGACTGAAAAGCCATGATGTTTTGTCCTTCTGTGTCCTGCCTTCGTGACATACCTACTGACTGGCCAGAATAATCACCAAGTGAGAAAACTGCAAGCAAAAAGCCCTGACTTTCTGCACCTCCTATTTGGCTCAGCAGAGATGCTCCTGGTGCCAATAGCTTCTTTTCTTCCTTGCCAAGTAGCAGCTTCAGGAGGGCAACACTCATTAAGACTGCAGTGCATTAAAAAGGGGGTTAAATTCTCCTCTGTGATACCCAGTGTGGTGCAGTGGATAGAGTGATAGACTAGGTGGTTTGGTTTCGAATCCCCACTCAACCACGGGAACTCACTCAGGGCCTGGAACTCACTCCTTAAATATCTCACTTATTAGACTAGGACTCAGGTGGTTTGGTTTTGAATCCCCACTCAACCGCGGAACTCACTCAGGGTGTGGAACTCACTCCTTAAATATCTCACTTATCTTGAAAAGCTTATTAATGTTGCTACAAGTCGGTTCCAACTTGATGGCACATAGCAACAACTCCCTTGTGGTTCTAAGTCTGATCCGGTCACCCAACAGTTGCACGACAGCCTTACAAACCATGCTTGACACAACATTTGGTCTGGCCCATGGCATGACCCTGATCTTGCACGACACTGCTAATCACCTCTAGACACACACTAAGTAGTGAAAGATTATGAGAATCATTGTCCACATGCCTGAAGAGCCACGTGTCAATTGTGTTTTGCCTGATTTTTCTATTCCCCTTTCATTTTCTGTATTCCCCCCACCCCCATATTTTAATAATCTGCCCTAGGTCCTCTTGATAAAAAGGTGTCTAAATCATTTAAACAACAACAGCCCCTTATCCCAGGGTCCTACAGCGCTTGGAAGAGGATCCAGGCCACTTCTGTTTGAAGAGAACCCTCAGAACTTTCTCTCTTCCTCTCTTAGCTGGGGGGGCATGGGCCAACTCCCCCATCAGTCTCACTCAATGTCCCACGCTCCAGATGCTTCAGGCTACAACACCCATCAGACCAGCTAGTAAGGGCAACTGCTGGGGATCTTGGGGACTATAGTCCAGAACATATAGAGGGCCATAAGCTTTGGAAACCCTTCCTAGGCAAACACTCCCTTCAAAAGCAAGACTCCATCATTCTGCAGTCTAGGATGGTTAATATGGTTACAGACACGGACTAAAAGAGGTGTTAGAAGTTTAACCATACCTCCAAATTGACTTGGGAGAAGAAGTAAATACCAGCACATGAGCCAATTGCAATGCTTAGTGAGATCACCCAAGCCCCCAGATGGATGGCGATCTGGGAGATTCTTTGGCTGAGAGGAAGCTTCAGGGCTCCAACTGTGATCTCAGACAGGGTCTCCTAGAAAAAAAAAGCAATCACCAGTTCGTTATTCAGGGGGGAGGGACTGGAACAGAACTTATGAAATCCGACCTGTGTGATTTGGTATCATTATATATTTTTTGATGCTGTGAATTTAGGGGCTAGAGTCCAGCTCTTCTTTCTAAAACAAAACTTTTCTAATACACGGCAGCTATTCAAAGATGGGGAAATATTGTAGGCCTGTAGAGAGCCAGTGTGGTGTACCAAATAGAATATCAGACTCTGACCCAGGAGATCTGAGTTCCAATCTCCGCTTGACCATAGAAACTCACTACAGGTGGCAAAGGTAAGCCACTTCCTCCACATCTTCTTTAGGTCAAAACTCCTATTAGAGTTGATGTAACTCAGAGTCAGGAGATCATCAATGCCTTTCCTATCACTCAAGAGCAGACACTGTGCTGGCCAGATATCAATTAACAGAAGGATTCTCAAACTGAAATGCTCAAACCTGCATCCAGAAGCAAATGTAAGACAGAGAAATTTGTCACAGGTACAATAATTAGAAAAAGACATCAGGCCAGAAGGAGAAGGGCTGTGTGAATGAGCTTTCCCTGCAGAAGGAAGGAACGGACGGCCCTTCCAATGTAGTTGGACTGCAACTATTCTCATCGCTACCCTCTGGCTTTCCTGGTTGGGACGAATGGGAGTTGTAGTCCAACAACATCTGGAGAGCTTCCCATTTCCTGCCCCGATCTACTGTCTTCATGGCCCTCAACTAAAAGCTGTCTAATATCTACAAGGAATTAAGCCACATAAATGGTTACTTAAGAAGCCTTAAGTTAAAAGGCCTGTCTTGACCCGTATCTGGTCTCCCACAGTGGCCACCGAGACTCCTTCCTGTACAGAAGCAGCCCAGGCAGGCAAAAGCTATCCCTCCATCCCTCCCTCCGATCTCCTTAAAAAGAACCCAAGGCAGCTTTATTGTTCCTCAATGATGTATTTATATCGGTTTGGGGGGTACTACCTGTGTGTATTATGTGTGGTCAAGTCGGAAATGATTTATAGTGACTCTAATAACATTTCTAAGGTGAGATATTTAAAGAGTGGCTTTACCACTGCTACACCCTTACCTGTGAGTCTCCACGGCCAAGTGGGGATTTCCACCCAGGCCTCTGGAGCTGCAGTCCACTGTTCTGTGTAAGACACTACCAAAGGGTATTGCATAGCCCTCAGGAATAGTAGCCATGGATAGGGGAAAATATTCATAGCTCAATGATAGAACATCATGGGAGGTCCCAGGTTCAATCCTCAGGATTTCTAGGCAGGACAGGGAGGCCTACGGCAACAATCTCTTGTGCCCCCTATTTGTGTATGGATTTGATGGCATTTTATTATTTTTCATTTATTGTTTGGGATACAGTGGTGCCCCGCATAACGAGCGATTCATTTAACGACTAATCCGCATAGCGATGTGTTTTTTGCGATCGCAAAAGCGATCACAGTGCGATGTTTTAAATGGTAAAACATCGATTTTCGCATAGCAATGTTTTTAAAACAGCTGATTGGCGGTTCCAAAATGGCCGCCGGGTAAATAAAATGGCCACCCGCAGTGTTTTCGCGCCCTTTCCTCGCTTACCAGGCAGCGTAAATGGCGGCTGTATGGAGGATTTCTGCATAACGGTGAGTTTTTTGCATTCCTATGGGCTTCTTTGTCCCGCATAGCGACGAATCCATATAGCAACGATTTTTTCGGAACGGATTATTTTAACGGATTATCATCGCTATGCGGGGCACCACTGTATATTGTAAACGACGTTCCGTGTCTCGTCGCACTGGCCACATGACCACGGAAACTGTCTATGGACAACGCTGGCTCTATGGCTTGAAGACGGGGATGAGCACTGCACCCTCGAGTCAGACACAATTGTACTAAATGTCAAGGGGAAACTTTATCTTTACCTATATATTATATATTTTATTTATTTTGCTATGGTTTTATAATTTGATTGAAGTTTTTTATGTCGGCTGTGGGTCACCTTTTTTGTTTTTGTTAATGGTGATTGATTAGGATACTGAGGATATTTTCTTTTAATTATTTTTAATTTTGATTGTACTGTTTGTTTTATATCGTGCATTGCAAACCATCTCAAGGAGTGATCTCACTAAGTTGGGCAGTCTGTAGGTTAAACAAATAAATAAATAAATCTGTATAAAATCCCAAGAAGCTGCTACCAGTCAGACAGTGCTATGAAGCACCAGCCAGTGGTCTCACCTCAGTATAAGGTTGCTTCCTGTGCACCCATAAGTTCCTTTGTTCCTATCAGTGGAGAATGCGTAGCCTTCCAGGTGTGGTTGAAAAGCAGATCCCATCAACTCTAGCCAAAATTATCAGTGGTGAAGGATCATAGGAGCTGTGGTCCAACAATATCTGAAAGGTCACACATTCCCTATGCTGAATTGATTCAGTCCCCTTTTTAAATTAATGTATGTTAATGGCTTAGAACTGCACATCTGGAAGAGACCCGAAGGATCATCAAGTCCAGACCCTGTCAAGGAGGCCCAGTGAAGGATAAAACTCCCAACCTCTGGCTCTGCAGCCAGTCACCGGAACCACTGAGCAGTTCCAGGTGTTACCATGTCTTGAGCTGGGAAACATTTTCCTTATATACCTTGATTTGGGTGCTGAGATTTTTCTGCTTTAGCTTGACAGCTTTTTCATTGGTGACGCTGAAGTCCCAGACACAGAGAAGTTTGGCAGCATTTCCAGCATACATCTGAGGATTAACAAAGTTGGCACGGAAGGATTTTGCCATGCTGTGTGTGAGAACAATGAAACATAAAACGGCAATTTTGTGGAACCAGAAGAGGAAAAAAGATCAAAATATTAGGGAAATCATATCTATTTATCCATCCATCCATCACAACCCATTTTCCCTTACCTAATGGGATGATTTCTTAAAAATGTAACACAGGAATTCTCCTTCAGCAGAATAAAACATATTCACTTTAGAATAAAAGTAGAATCTAAACATTACTGTACCTGTACAGCAAGCTTAGAAAGCAGACAATGAAATAAATTCCAAAGGTGAAAATATAGGCTAGCTGTATGTAATACGTAGAAATGTTCTCATTTTTCATTACTGTAGTGTTGGTGTAAAAGCCATAATACAGCACTGTGTCTGTAAAGTATCCCTGGAAAAAGCAGGAGAGGAACATAGAAGTCATGCAAGTGCAAATCCTTAGCAAAAGGAATCTATTGTTGATGCTATTGTTACAAAGCAACACAAGTGCTTTAGAGCAATGCCTTTGGAGCACACTAAGGCTGCGCATGGATTCAATGTGGAGGCCAAGTCAAGGCTTTGGAATACATCCGAATTAGGGCCACAGTGATTTCGCAGGTCATATGCTTTGAATTTTGCCTTAGATCCAAATCTGTTTGTAAATTTTCAGTAGGCACTAACTTTCATTTGAAAATCAAAATCTTTTAAAAGTTTGTATTAAATATACACGAAATTTCAAGACAGCTAAAGTAACAGGTTTGCTTACTAGTCACCCTTAGAGTTTGCTTTAAAAAAACCCCTTGCAGACAGAAATTATTTGTGCCCCATCTAATTGTATTTGTGTTCTGGATCCAAACTGATTTGTACATTTGCTTTGGCCACAAACTGACTCTGGTCATTCTGTTTTGATTCAGAAGGCAAGCAAATCAGCCTGAATCAGTTCTGCATTTGTGATTTGTCTGAATCCCATGCACAGCCCTAGAAAACACCAGGATGCAGTTCGGAAACTTCTAAATTCTGCATTTAGGCAAGGGCATTCCGTGAGAGTCTACAGTCTTATCATCTTCCTTCCTTCAAAATATAGTAAACCTGCTGTACTTTGGAGAACCTTGCCATTCATTCTGCCATTCATTCTGGTGAATGGGTCCCTAGACATCTAGCCCAAAGTCTTGCTCTGATAGCACCACTATGGAGTGCAACCAGAGGCACACAAGACTCTACCATAGTAACTGTCCCCTCATTAATTGGCTGAAATCCATTAGTAAGTTGCAAATAGAGTAGGCCCACTGAAACAATGGAACTTACATAGGCACTGACTCATCAAACCCCTACTTGATTAGAGATGGGTAAACCTTCGTTTAATGCTACAATAGGTGTTTGGCAGCTCAGCAGGCACCCACTCCAAAGAAGCGCCTGGAGGAGGCAGGGCAGGGAAGCCGGGGGGGCTGTTTCTGAGCAGGCACTCGCTGAAGGGGTAGGGCGCTAAACCACCAAATATGTTGCAGTGGTAAACGAACCAGGACAAACCACCAAACGGGCGATTCATGCCCATCTCTGCTACCAATTCATTGAACCTACTCTAGTTGCAACTTACCATTGGATTTCCGCTACCGTATCACAGGTGGGCCCTTCCAAATTGGCATTTATATTCTTTCAAGCTCCCCATCTAGGACTGATCTTGCTGGATTTCGTTTGCCATTCAGACAACATCCCCTTATCCTGCCAGGTACAGGTATGAACAGTTCCCCATGAATTCCCACACCTTTTTGACTCTTCTGTTTCTTTTGTGTCCTGATTCTCATCCCAACCCAAAGCTTCCCCTTCCTTCCTCTTTGGAACAAACCTTGTTCCAACATTTCAGAAATTGAGGGGGGTGGGTGTGGATGAAAACAATGCTTGCTTCCCCAATTTTCCACAAATTGACAGAGAAATTGGGGAGGTGCAAAGGAGGAGGTGAAAGCAGGCCTGGAAATCTGATGGCAAAGAGGCACCCTAAGAAGTGTCCACTTTTTACAGTCGTGCCAAAAGCTGCACCTCGAAGGGGACTGAAGCAGAGAAACAGCTCAGCCCTAGGCCACAACTGCCAAAAGGGGACCCCCAATAGATACTGGTAAATCTCCTTAAATTCGGACAAAAGACAAACAGTAAAGAACCGGGCTGCACGGCTGGTAAGTGGTACCGCTGCACAGACTTATATCATGCCGGTACTGAAAAATTTACACTGGCTACCAGTTGCTGCTCGGGCCCAATTCAAAGTGCTTACTTTGACATACAAAGCTCTAAATGGTTTAGAACAGGCTTGTCCAACCTGCGGCCCGAGGGCCGCATGCGGCCCAGGTCAGCTCGTAATGTGGCCCAGTGCAATTTTTTATTTTAAAAGAAATTCCAAAGTTTCAAGTTACACTGC